ATTTCAATAAATTTGTGATGCAAAAGTGTCAAGAAATTGTTTTAATGACTAAAAATGCAATTCTTTTATTTAAAAGACTAAAATTGTTATTTTTATAAAAAGAAAGGTAGTGAAAAGGTCGAATCCCCACTTTTAAACAAACTATTTCATTAAGTCAAAATACAAAATCACGACTACCGACAAGTCGAAAGACGAATACACGTTTAACTCCGAATATCGTGATAAACGAATCGATCGGTCTCGAATCGATACCAAACCAACAAACGTTAAATCAAACCCTTCAATAGATACGCGATACCTAAGATGAGTAGATATACAAACTTTGGGCTTGAGAGTTTCAAATCATGCTTGTTGGATCTTGCAAGTCCATCAACACGATCTTTGGGCCCAAAGGGATAACGCTTATATGTTATTGGGCCTTCTATGGCTCAATTCCATATAAAAGGACTTTCAATGGCTTTTATGTGCTATTGGGCCCTAGTGGTCCATTAGTATGGCTAGTAAGGTCAGAGTAATCAAATGCGAGTTGGGTCAACGTGTCCTTCGCATCCACGACAGCCTAAGGTACTTACGATAAGTAGCAGGACTTAGTACTCCTCTTCTCTTCGTTCGCTAAGGCTCATGAGTAATCAAAGTAGACGGAATTAGGACGCTATTCAACAGTAATCAAGGTGGTGTGGATTAAGTGAGTAACAACGGACGACACCTCTATGGGACGTTTGTAGTTGGCTGTTATAACATGTCTTCACCGGACATCGTTACGACGACTCACTTGGTTTATCCGACACCATCCGAGTATTCAAGGATGAGTAATCAAAAGGCATTCGTTGTGGCGGTATAACAATTTGTAATCACGTATATCTTTCGACATCGGAAAACATCGGGTTTTCCGGGGAAATCAATACTACTCGCTCGGAATTTCTATACTATAATACAAAACACCCTTTTATATATATATATATATATATATATATATATATATATATATATATATATATATATGTCTTGAAATCATTCATGCATCAACTTATGGATCTTCACACTTTGATAAACTATTGTCTTTTCAGAAAATATCGGATTTTCTGGGTTTTACAAACTATACAAATCATTTTATTCACAACCTTGCTTATGAACTCACCAACATTTCATATGTTGACGTTTTTCCAAAATATCTTGTATTCTCAGGTAACAGATAAGCGGAAGGGTAATACCAAGTATGTTAGAATGTTTTGTTTTGAAAACTCTGAAATAATTTGTGTTATGAATGTGTAATATTTGAAACAATGTACGGGATGCAAACAATATCAGTTGTAATGTATTGATGCATGGTGATGTTTATGTTATGATTCATGTATATTCATTGTGATGGTATTCAATTTAAGTCACGCGAGCCCCCGGACGTTTCCGCCGTCTGGTTTCGGGGGTGTGACACCATGTTAGAAGGGATTTCACCAAAATAAGCCTTGGGAGCATTGCATGTGTAGCAAGATTCGACCTTTACGTGTTTATTGGTCATGGGAAGTCAGATCTATAGATTAGAGAAGCAGATCTGACCTCAAAAGGTCAGATGAGTGTGGTCATGGGAGGAACTCGCCGAGCCCATAAGGGACTCAACGAGTCGAGACGGGTTGCCCCGCGACTCGCGACCTGTGACGACCCGTGGGGTATAGGGTTGACTCAGCGAGTCAAGTGAGGACCAGGGGCGAAGAGGACATACATGTACTCGCCGAGTCACTCTAGTGCACTCGGCGAGTCCGGTCAATGTTGACCGTTGACTTTTGTTGACTTTTAGGGTTTAGTCAGTGTTTGGACTTATGAGTCATTAGAGGGGTAGAATGGTCTTTTACCCTTCTTAGAGAACTTATAGAGAGGGGTTGGCCTAGCCTTTAGAAGTTGTATTAATTAGAGTAATTATTTATGTGTTTAGGCGAAGGCTAGTGCAGTATTTCAGAGCTCGAGGTTTACCGAGTTACCCGAGGTGAGTCTTCTCACTATACTTTACCTAGAGTGGTAATTAGAGTTATGTGACAGAGTATCTTGTATGTTATTTATGTGATTGTGATACACTGCATTATTTCTATGTGATTCATGCCGTGTATGTTCCAGAGTTACAAAGTTAGAACCGAAAGGTTCACAGAGTTAGGACCAGAGGGTCCACAGAGTTAGGACTGGAGGGTCCACAGAGTTATAGCCTCGAGTGGCTAATATGTGTTATATGTGGTATTTTGGGGAACTCACTAAGCATTCATGCTTACAATGTTTTGTGTTATGTGTTTCAGGTACCAGTGAGGATCGCGGGAAGGCGCCGGCATGATCAGTACACACTATTGGAGTTTTACACATTTTGATATTGGGATGTGTTTTTATGGAGTTGATATGTGATACATTGAGATTTGAGAATATTTATGAATGACATTATATTTTTAAAAGTGAAAAATTGTATCGAAATTTAGGGTGTTACAAGAAGGGTAATCGGTTCTTAGGGTAAATCTTTATGAAATAAAGGAAGATAATGAGGGTGGGTAATTGGATTGATTGTTTGATAATTAAATATAATAATTATATTATTGTGGGTTGAGAACCCTATATGCTCACCAGGCTCCCAAGCCTGACCCTCTCAGTTTTCTTTATATTACAGGTTATGGCACGAGAGCATAAGTTGGCTGACATAACGAGAGATTTTGGATTATAGGCCAGTAGTTATGAATAATTGTTGTAAGGTCTATTTTGTTCTGTTTATGCTTTTGGTATGTATTGAACATGACATCCCGAGATTTTGTTATATAATGAAAATACATTTCTTTAAAGGAATGCTTTGATAAATTCTTATCATATTTTTGTTTTGGGAACAAATTCCGCAACTGTTTTCTTTAAAAGATTACTCTGCTTTTAAAAGCAAAGCATAAACAAATCGGTCTTTTCTGGCCGTGAAATTGGGGATGTCACATTAATTTTTCGAGTTACGGAACTCCGGGAAATCGCGTTTAAAGTTTCGCGTCTAAATGACCTGTAACGCTCGATTTTTCGACTTTTGCAAATATTTTAGCTAAAAATATTTTGAGTATGAAATTAAATATTAGGCCATAACATGAGTCCAAAAAGGCTCTCGGAATTTCCATCGGAGGTGTGCAAGTGCCTCAACGGATCGATTCAGTTTTCTACGATTAAAGAAAACTAGTGTTTTACTGCATGTTTTCTTAAAACTATCGTATCTTTTGTGTATGTTTTGGACATTCTTTATATTTTCGGAAACAGGTGAACATGTACTCTAAGGTTTTAATGTTTGATTCGCTCATAGCTGCTTAATACAAATTTTTAGTTTTTCAAACGCAATAACCAGTGTTCCAGTGTTGCAGACGCATTAATGCTCTCACCACTTTTACCTATGTGGTAGTATGTTTGTGATGAGTTGGGTCTTTATTGCTGATTCTTGTGTTTATCTGAATTGAATTGCTGATAACTTTGGGATTTCCTGTGAATCCCGAGGGTTGTTGTAACCCCTGAAACGTGCTGTTAATCCACAACATGTGCTGTTAGCCCACTGGGACTGCTGATAATCCACTGGATTGTTGATAACTCATAGTTGTTTATTATGTTGTGTTGTATGGATATTTTAGGAGGGACTCAATAAGCTTTATGCTTACAATTATGAATTAAATGTGTTTCAGGTACCTCAGAGATAATCACGGGAATGCGAATGCATGACTGTACACTCCGGCTTGCAAATCTTTTTATGATTTTCACATTTTGATACTCTGATTTTGCGATGACTGTATTGATACAAATAAGAATTTTTTTTATTTTATTATTTTATTTTATTTTTATGGTACTTGAGATTTTTGCTGAATTAAAAATGAAACTTTGTTGAAAATTTTGGGTTGTTACAAATTGACATTTTAAGATAAATGAGTTGTCACTGGGTTGACCTGTTTATTTAGTTCACAACCCAACCTATTATACAAATTTGTTAAACTTGGGTTAATCCATTTAAAATCAAATAAATTAACTAAATATTACACCACTTAAATTAGTTCCAAACGTAAATAAAGTTTGAAAGTATGAAAAAGTACAATCTTAATTCACAAATACATATAAATTATTCAAATAAAATTAAATTTATTTAATTTTGAAGTGATTATGGAGAGTGACTAGTGTTGTCGGTGCTAAGAAAAGGATGAGAATTAAGATTGCATTTTTTTAACATAAATAATAATACAACATTATAATTTATAAATTAATACTTTGATTAATAGTTATTGAATTAAATATATATTAAGGTTAAATGGGCTAGCATGCTAAAAACAGGTTGATAATTTTTACCCTGCTAAACCTATTTAATTATATGGGTTAAGCGGTTGACCCATTTAACTTAAATGGGTTGAAAATCTCAACTAAACCTGTTAGTTTTGGGTTGGGTTTGGTTCGATTTAACGTTTTTGGCCAATTTTTGCCCGCTCTAATGCTATTACCAAAACGAAGACAAGAAACACATGATTCTACTTCCAATACGAGTCACGTATAAAAACACCTTATTAATGATTGTCTCACATAGAATGTCATGTGAGCAACACCTGAAGAATTTATCATAATGACTAAATGTATACAAAAAAACAACAAAAATTTATTTTGCAAAAAAAAAATTAATGAATAAATATGTACAAAATGAAAACTTAACATGGAGTAATCAATCATAATGACTGAATGTGTACAAAACAATAAGTTTAAGGGCTTATTTTATAAGAAAAACAATAAAAAGTAAACGTATAAAAACTATGTTACCCTATTAAGTAATTTTCCTAAAAAAATATAGCGTAAAAAAAATTTAACAAACTTATTTACCCAAAAATATTATCTAATAAATTCGTATTATAAATGTTTTAAGTTTGTAAAAAACCAATGAAATATTATTAAGTTATTTGTATTTTTTTAGTTACTTATCATTGACTTAATTTTTTATGAAGACTTGAGACATCTAATCCAACATTTTGGAGATCTAAAAAATGATGTGGTTGATAGTTGCTACTTGGTATTGGCATTCGCACTTGCTGGACTGGACCACGTCGGATCCCTGTGATGTGTCCAAAGAGAGACAAAGTCCGCTCACCCCAACCCTACCCCCACCCCACCCAACCCCCACCTCTCCCAAACCCCAAATTTCTGTAATTTTAACTCTACAATTTTATTCCAACCAAGTAGCGTTTGTTTCGATCCAATTTTCCTCATCACCATCGGTCTTCTCTCACTGCTTTGTAAGAACTCTCTATCTCTATCTCTACCTCTATCTATATCCATATTCCTATCTATATCATATTATCAATTCCAATCTTGTCTTCACTACACGCATGCCTTGTTCTTGTTTAAAAACGGGATTCACGCCTAATTTTAGGGTTTTTAAAGTGACACCGGTTGTATTAATTTATGTTTTTCCATCTCGTATCTGTATACAATCGTGATTTACGCTTAATTTAAGTTATTTATTTATTTATTTATTTATTTTTGTTTACTTGTGTTCAATAGTAGATTTCATTTCCATTGTTATTGGTGATCGACGTCTGTGGTAGTTTGAATTTAAATTTCATCTCTTGTAAGAAAGAGACAGTCCTAGTATACTTAGACTTCGAGGACACAGGGCCACTATTGAACTGTAACATTGATTTGAAATCTCAAAAGGACTTCAAGTTAGATTGATAATATAATTTTACCTACATATAAATCGATGCTGCATTAAGTTTGTAACAGCTTGCTAGATTTGAGCTTAAACTATCAATGCCTGTTACTTATTATGTGGTGAACAGAGGGAGTACGGATTAAGTGGATATTTTTGGATATTTATGCTAAATGTGTATTTGGAGATGTATTTCACTGTCTATACTTTGGATTTTGGAAGAAAGTAGATCATTGTATAGGACTATAGGTTGGTGAATCCTATTCCTGATTTGCTACAGTTTATATTTACAGGTCTATTTGTTAATGTGAAATCAGTTTTCAAAGACCGATGACAGAAAGCAATAGAACTTGATTTGCTTTATCTTGTTTAGAAACTGGCTTATGCTTATCATTACATAATCAATGGCTCGAAAAGGAAACCAACAGAAGAATGGGTTGGATGGAAGCACATCAAACCACAAAAAAGGAGGTCTCCAATCAGGAACTGCAATGCCAAATAAAAAGGGAAAGGGAAATGCAAGCAACTTGAAAGATGCGAAAAGGGAAGAACTTTCAAACGATACCCCACCAAACATATCTGTGACAGATTCCCTCCACAAGAAAAAAACAAACAAATCTGGTAGGCATAATAAAGTAGAGACTCAAGGTACAGCTGGAACATCTTCTGTAGAACAATTAGAGCCTCGTGATGTTACTGAAGATTGCAGTGCTGACATGGCAACAACTGGAAGTTCTTGTTTGGAAGAAGAAAAATGGTCATCAGCTAATGGTATAAATGGATCAAAGAATCGAAAAAGTAATTCTGCTCACTCTTTAAATGGATTAGACGAAGATGGTTTACGTGAAAGTGTAGAGCTTCCGGAAACATTGGGTGTTAAATACTTGAAGACATTTGTGTTGTCTGTGTCACAGGCATCAACAGAATGGTTTGAAAGACACAAGCCATTGTTTGATATTTTAGTAACCAAAATATTAATCTCTCGTGAGTATGTTAGAATGAAAATCAAGTATGCTTATCCAATTGTGTTGAAGTGGCTTACACATTTCTTCAACATATTGCTTCTTCTTTCAATGGTTTGGTTGGATTGTGTCCTTAGAGGTATAGACTCTGTTATACGCATGGGGACAACATCATTTTTCACGGTTATTTGGTGCAGCATCTTTTCAGTGGTTGCAATGATTGGAATGCTTAAGTTTATTACTGTTGGGGTAAGTTTACTTTTTATCTTTTTTCATCTTCTTTATGGTTTTGTTTGGTATGATGGAATTGACAAAGGAATGGAATGGTTCTGAAATTTTTTTAGAGAGTTGTCATTAAAGTTTAAATAAATAAAAATGTTTTATGTTTCAATAAAACATTTAAACTTTAATTACAACTCTTAAAAAACTTTTCATTATCTTTAATTAAATTATAATTTTATCTAAAAGATATTAACTTTGTTACAATGTTATTTGGGTTTTAATGAGCTTTTATTATGTTTGATTTTCTATTTTTGTAAATAAAAGTTCATAAATTATAATAAATATAATTTATAGGGTAGAGTTAAAGTTATACATTGTATTCACATATAATATAAAAAAATCATAAGAAAAGTTCATTCCATTCCTAGAGGCCAGTCAAACATGATCATGGAATGTAATGACTCATTCCATTCCATCCAACCAAACTATGATCTATTAATGTTGTTTGTTCAGAACTATGTACTCTGGCTCATTTAATAATTGACTTTCATGTTTTTTTTACAGGCCATAGTTGCTTTAGTAGCACTTTTTGTAGGGTTCACAATTGGTCTTCTGTTGCTTGCTGTTTCTGGGGTTGTTTTCTTGTGGTTGTATGGAAGCTTTTGGACAACCTTAGCTGTCCTCCTTTTTGGAGGTGAGTCCTTTTAACTATTCAATTGGTGTCTGGTTTGCATAATGTCTCTGAAGGAAATGGAATCTGTCAAAGGAATTGGAATCCAAGGGAATTGGAATGGAATTTAATAGTATAAGTCTTTTAGAAAAAAAAAGAGAATGCAATTGAATCCCATTCACCCACCTCTAGGAATGTAGAGATCACTCAGACATGGATTTTGAAGGAATTTCCCAGAATTCAATTCCGTTGGTTCGGCAACCAAACGTGCCATGGAATGGAATTCGAGATTCCAATTCCTTCAGATTCTTTGAACCAAACATGCCCATTGGACATGTTTAAGTTTAACCTTCTTTTTGTGTGGAACAGCTGATTTTTTTTGTTATTGATGTTATTCTTCTTTAATATGCAGGAATAGCATTCATGTTTAGCCATGAGCGTCTTGCACTGCTAATAATGACTGTGTATTCTGTATATAGTGCATGGACACTGGTTGGGTGGCTTGGTATTATTGTGGCTTTGAATTTATCATTTTTCTCAAGTGATGCTCTTATATTCTTCTTGAGAAATAACATGAATGAACAAAGAAGATCCAACAGTGTCCCTGAACAAAATGGACCCGGTGTTTTCAATGGTGAAGAAGCGCGTGCTTCATTTACGGATGGTGGGACCGGGACCCACACCCACCCCCCAGCTGACCGGAGCCCAGGGGTGGCTTCAACCAGTGGGTCTGATGACTTAACATCTGAAGATGAAGTTGTTCGATTGTTAAACTCGGTTGATCACTATTCAGCTTTTGGATTGTCTAGATTTCAAGAAATAGATGCGTTGTTTCTCAAGCGAGAATACAGAAAAAAGGTTTGTATTTTAATTTTAATTTTTAATTTCATTTCAAAGATGGGTATTTGACGAATGAACAAAGATAATGTGTGATTTTGATTCCAGGCAATGTTGGTACATCCTGATAAAAATATGGGTAATGAAAAAGCTGCAGAAGCTTTTAAGAAACTTCAAAATGGATACGAGGTATCCTTTTCTTGTTTCCTACTTGTGTCTTTTTATCTTGGTGCATGTGAATGCCTGACTATGGTGCAAATTTTTTTTTTTTTGTTTATATCAAGGTTTTGCTAGATACTTCCAAGCGAAAAGCATATGATGATGAATTGAGAAGGGAAGATCTTCTGAATTATTTCCGTAGATTTCAAAATGCTTCTCCCAAGGTTTGATTATTATTTATTTCTGTTTTACTTTTTTCACTCAAGATTCAGCCATCATTATACAGCTTGTTAATGTTATTATCACATTTTTCTCTGTTGTAGAATGCTTAAAAGATTCAAATAGAAGTTAATGTCACTTGCTCTTCTATTTTATTTTACACATAGTTTAAGAGTAAAGTCATATACATCTTTAGAAGTGAAGGCCAAAACCCTAAAACACTGGTTAATAAGACAAATGTAGAGAATTTATTATGGACCTCAATCAGTTTCACCTGAATTTTGAAATAGGTAAAACATGGATTGGAATGTTTTTCAAAAAAAGGAAATGTTTTGTTTTTTGTTTGTGACAAAATTTTATGATCCAGAACAAACGAAATGGATTATTTGGATCTGCATTTGGGCGCACCGAGGTTCATGTGGATGATCCTTTGGGAGAGTCCAGGCGAATTGCATGCCAAAAGTGTAATAGTTTTCATATGTGGTTTTACACCAAAAAGACCAAATCTAGAGCCAGATCCTGCCAGGTATCATTTTTTTATTCTCACCACAAAAGTAAAAACAAACCCTTCAAGGCCTAAATGCATGAAATAGCAATGTAATTTCTATTTTTTTTTCCTTATCATAGCATCGTGCTTTTGTTTTTCTTATTATAGCATTGTACTTTGAAAAATCAACCCATTTTATTTTATAGCAATGGATAACCTCCTACATGTACCTGTTGTTCCATTATTTGTTTTGATGACATGGTGATGGTGGACAGACATCCTATGTGGACAATGATATGGCATAAAAACCTATCATCTTGTGCCATGTCATTATGTTTCAAATTAGCAGGTTCCTCATTGCTAGCTATAACTGGTAAAAAAATTGAAAGTATCAAAGTACAATGGTGTAATAAGAAAAAAAATGAAAGTAGGATGCTATAATAAAGAAAAAATGGGAAGTATATATATATATATATGTTTTCCTTTAGCCCAATAATCAAATATCCTTAAAAAGTTACAACTGGAAGCCTTGAAGAAGCTAAGCTAAATTACTTGAATCTTAATTTTTTTTTTTTTTCTTTTTGCAACTTTGAAGGACTGTAAAGACTTTCATCCAGCCAAAGATGGGGATGGGTGGGTTGAACAATCATCGCAACCGCTCCTTTTTGGAATGTTCCAGAAGGTATGTGAGCATCATAGGTGTTTTTTTTTTTTTTTTTTACTTATTTTAATATTTTTGGAAAATAATATGCAGGTAGATTCCCCTCGTGCTTATGTTTGTGCAGACAGCAAGATATATGATGCCACTGAATGGTATATCTGTCAGGTATATTTTTTTCTTCTTCAATTAAGTTAGAAGGAAATGAAAGTAGAATGGTATAATAATATAGATAATAGAATATGATGTGTGGGATTGGATTGGATTGGTTGCAGGGAATGAGATGTCCGGCAAACACCCACAAACCAAGCTTCCATGTGAACACAAGTGTAATGTCAAAGCACAGCAACAACACCAAAGGAGGAGCAAGCTCAAGTCGTAATGGGAATGGAATGCCAAATATGGAGGAAAGCATGACGGAAGAGGAATTCATGGAGTGGTTACAAAACGCAGTTCAATCCGGGATGTTTGACACTTTTGCAGCCAATGCTTCAGATACCACCCCTACCCCTACCCCTAAAACCAATGCTCCTCCTGGTAACAACAGCAATAGCAGTAAAAGAAAGAAGAAAGGTAAGAAATGGTAATAATAACAATAATAATAAATAATAAATCATGTATATGGATTATGTAACTCCTCTCCTTTATTAATGAAATGGGAAAAGATCTTCCGAGTCTGAGTCATAGGTAATAGTTTTTGGTTGTTTTTCAACAATTTACAATTGTAATACTTGGAAAATAGATTCCAAAAGTCAATGTCCAATGAGTCGAGTTTCTATTACGCTGCTTTAGTTAACATCCTGGATTTCAAACACATTCAACCCAGACCCAAATTATAAAAAAGATAAGTGCTGCACTTCTATAATGTATTTGGAAGAAATTGGAATTCAAATGTCTTTGGAAGGAACACATAATAATTTTTTTATTTATTTATAGTGAGGGTATTTTGGTCTTTTAATAGAACGAATGAAATCAGTGAAATCCGAGGACATGTCCTCGTATGTTTTAAAAACTGAGTTTTTAGTTGAACACTGGTTTGACCGACGGGCCAACCCAGTTTGAACGCGATAACTTGATGGCTGATCGCTATTCAATCCGCGCTAGAATGGGCCCGAGTTAACAGGTTAAGTGAAATCCAAGTCAAATATACCAATTCAATTGATTTTTTACCGTTTCTATGACACCGATTCAAGTTCAACCTAACCTGCTATTTGGAGAAACCGTCTGGTTCGATCCGGTCTCAAATTGACATAAAACATATGATACTTAAACCATTCTCCTCCCCGGTTCAAATTGGTTACATATAGGAGTTTGTGGAGTAATTTAGGAGTACTCTTTGTGCTAGCTTTTTTTTACTATTATGACCGACTAGTTTGCTATGGTTTCAACTATACTTTCACTACTTTATCGCTAGTATATAGTTACATTGTCCGTGTTTCTATACAATATTTACCTACATACTACTGCTTCTCTTCAAGTACAAATAAATTGTTTCTCAATTTCTCCATGGTGGGTGGGATGACGGTTTCATATGCACTGTAGGCTCGAGTTCTTCAACCATTTTATTATTATTTTTAATGTTGGAGGTCACTAATAAAAGGAAAGCAATCACCCTACCCAAGTGACAACCTACTCATTACCTCTCCCTCACCATGATTCTTATCAGATTAAGGTAACAAAAACAACTCTGTAAAAATAAACCCCAATATATCATATCCAAAGGTACAATATATTGCGAAATAGACTTAAAACATCATTATCATTATATACTTATAAAGGAAGCATTTTTTCTTTCACCACATTCATTTGAAACTCTCATTCATTTTTCCTTTCACCACATTCATTTCAAACTCCCATGACTTTTCAATTTCTTTCTAATAATAATTATAAGTTGGTTAATAAGGTTAAATAAATATCAAACCTAAAGTGTAATCATATATAAACTAAATTTCAATATTAAAAGAATATATTTTCTTCTACTTATAAAATTATGTTTTTAACTTTTAACTTATTATACTTAACTTATTAGATCTAATATGTTGTTGTATGTAAACCATTATCATTTTAAAGCTACAACTTTTGAAAAATTTGTATAAAATAATTAAATTGTTAATTTAAATATAACCTTACAGGATCAACTTAAATATAAATTTTAGTTCAACTTAAACAACACAAATAATATTTTGTAAATAGTTAAAAATGATAACTTATAGTGTCTTTCTAATAACGATTATAAGTTGTTATAAAGTTAAATAATTATCAAACCTAAAGTGTAATCATAAATAAATTAAATTTCAATATTAAAATAATTTATTTACTTCTACTTATAAAGTTATGTCTTTAACTTTTAACATATTATACTTAATTTATTAGATTTAATATGTTGTTGTATGTAAACCATTATCAGTTTAAAGCTACAACTTTTGAACAATTTGGACAAAATACTTAAATTGTTGATGTTAATATAACATTACAGTGTCAACTTAAATATAAATTTCAGTCCATATAAAAAACCCAAAGAATATTTTGTGATAGTTACAAGTGATAAATTGTAGTGCCAAATGCAAAAACTAAATTGTAATCTCAATTTAACTAAAATATTTCCTAAAGATATTTGTATAATCGTTAAAAGTTTTCAAGTAAGTAATTTAAAATAACTTAGAATAACAATACTTAAAAATAACTCTATATAAATAATTATATTGTTACCTTTAAAATCAAAAAACAATGTTTGATGTCTTAAATAATTATAATGATAGAAACTAAAACGTTAAGCAAATAAACTTTTAAAAAATTAATTAACAATAACAATCATAAATAACATTAAACCATATATTATATTTAATTTTATTCATGAGTAACTCGTGGGTAGAAGTCATTCAAACGATTGAGATTATGCAGTTATAATAGATGTATATATTATCATATAAGTCAAAATAATCAATATATTATATCAATTTAGTATATGAATTATTATATCAAATTTAACAACAACGTTATTGTAGTATTTAAAAAAAACATATATTTGTAAAGATTTTAATTATATAGGTGTTTCTGCGCAACGCGCGGGCATTCGCCTAGTTAGATATAGTATAGGTATGTTCGACAACTAGATTTTGAGAGTTTTTAGGAACTTTATCTTTCAGTTTTTAGAAAAAGCTCCAAGTAAAAGAAAGTTTCGCTCGTGAGTATGAGCTTAAAGATTTTATTTTAAACAAAAAATTTTCTAATCCAAAAGCTACCTCAAACAACTTTAGAGAGCTTCTATATTGTCAATTTATACTTTTGAAAATTTACAACTATTTTTGTCGAACATTTTTACACAAAAAAACTAAAGCTTCTGGCTTTAAACTAACGATTAGTTTTGCCAAATATACCATAACTACCGAAATGTAAGCTAAAAAAGTTACCATGCTATGACCATAAGAGAAAAAGTATAACCATAGCAATGTAGTATACTACATCAAATTCAAATTAGATTAAATAGTGTTACCAATTCCAACTAACTATTATAGGATATGAATAACATGTCAATTACTCATCATATACTTGTATAAAAAGAAGTGTTCTAAAGTGTAACATATTCCTTTCTAATAAGATTTGAATTATATCTATCAGTTTATTTCGTAAAATTTTTCTTATTGAAGGTTATTTTAAGTGTCTTAGGTGTTGTTTGTTTTGGAAGTGGTTAAATGTCTTTTGTCTTTTTCCATGTTTGCGGAAGAAGACATGCACTTGAGAAACGTCTACCCGCCAGAAGGAATAAGTGTTCAAAAAGTACTTTTGTAGAAAAACAACGAGACCTTAGACTCTTAGTATCACTTAGAAACCTTTATAATTAAAAAGTTAAGAGCGTACCAAATTAAAAAACAAGAAAAATAAAAAGATCAATTTAGAGCATCTTCAAATAATAATTTATAACTTATTATCATTAATCAATCACTTGAAACTGGAGTCTATGATTAATTTTGTTAAGCACTACTAAATATTGTTCAACTATTTAACTATGTATTGTGATATTATATTTTGGCCTTTTACTTAATGACATTTTCATTTTATCCCTTCAATCATATTTTTCATTTTTTTTTGTTGTTTTTGACTAATTAATCTAATTTATTAACTTATTTTTGGTTTATAACTATGTAGTTTATAAAAGTAATACCAATATAATATATTATATATACTTAAAAACAACAAATTAGAGAAGGGTTGTTAAAATGTTTAAAATAGATGATAAATATTTGATTATTGAGAAAAAACTTAGATATTAGGTATAGTTTATAAAATTATATATTTTTAATAAAAACAGCATATGATAATACAAAAAATCTTAGAACTAGAGATGAGACACCACATAAGCCTTTGAAACCATTCACCATTTGACCTTTTTTTCATGAAAACTTCCCTATTGCTCTCATAACGAATAAAGATCACTTCTCTTTTATTTCTATTTTCTTTAGACGGCTGCCTCCTCCTCCTAGTGTCCGGTGTCAGTAAGTCTATTTTCCTTGCTCACAACAGCCACAAAAGCTGCACAACTTCATCAAACGGTGGCACCTTCCAAATCATTCATTTTTTTCTCCCTGCTCTACGTGTGTGTGTATTTTTGTGATCGATTTAGAATGTCAAAAGCAGAATCATCTTCTAGTTGTAATGTTTCACGAGTTTTCATTTTTGAGTTGTTTGATTTGGATTTCAGTGTTTTTGAGAAATGTGTGTTTTGGAATGCTTTAGTTTGTGGTGTGTCATAATATTGCTTCTGAGCTTGTGATGTCTTAAAATACCTTAATAAGTGCTTTATATATTTGAAATCTTACCTTAGTGGCTCAATAATTTGTAAACTTGTAGCATATTTTATATAAATGTTCCAAGGGAATTTTTAAGCTGTGCAAATTTAGAACATAGTTTGATTTGTTGTCAATTTTAAGTTAAAATATGATTTGGGAATACTTGTAGCATATTTTGTTGGTTATTATTATTATTATTATTACATTTCAAATATAGATTTTATTATTAGACACATATTTTCATTTAGAACTCTTGGAGCATACCAACTAAAAACCCAATTGGCCCATAATTAAAAACCCAGTCGGCCCATAATACTTGAATGATTAAAAAACGAACCAGTCTCATAATATTAATTTACCGTTCGCCTCGTTATCGTTTCGACCAAAAAAGGAAGGTTTCTCAATGGAGTCACTGGTTCTATCATCATCATCTTCTTCATCTTCGTATTCTTCAATTGGTGGCTTTCTGGAGCAAAAACACAACTTAAATCAACATTTAAGAAATGGATTCACTTTATCTTTCCCCTTTTCTTCGCAAAATTTGCCTTTTAGCGTCAGAAAATCAGTAGTTATGGCCGCCAAGAAAAATCACAATTCCGACAAGAAGAAACAAGATCGACATAGCTTTGTAGCGAAACCAGATGAAACCACTGGTATTTTCCCTGAATCAGTTTTGCTTAAACAGGTAAAAACCCCTTTGTTCTTCATTTCTCTTAAATTCCACTTTTCTTGTGGCTATTGTGTTTCTAGATGCTTTTTTTTGTCGAGTTGCTAAAATTCTGATGGAATAATTGTTCTGGAGAGTATGCTGGTAGACTGTAGAACTGGTGTGTTTTTAATTTTATAAATATATATATTTTGTTCAATGTGGATATCGATGATGGTTTCACCTATATACATGATTATTTTGAACATTCAAAAGTAGAACAGTTAAAAATCAATATTTACAATAACCATCTTAGGGTTTGTATTTATGATGTTTTCTAGATTAATGTGACTATTCATTCTTTACAAATTAGGAAAGGTCAACAATTTTATATAGCAATATATAAACTATTAAGCTGTGAATTCTCAGTAAATAGGATTATGACTAGAAGTTTTAGATTATAAACAACAAATAATCAAATTTGGAGGAGTTTAATAAGTGGCAAAACTGATTATTATGAAAGTTCTTTCATTTGGGGTTCAAAATTCTTCTGTTAACATGTAGATTATTTGTATTTCAGAAAGTAGTTCAAGAAGATGGTAAACTTCTTCCAGAATTTGCAGATGCTGATGAACGTAAGTCAATATGATAAAATTTGTTCCTTTTTTTTTGTTTTGATTCTTGATTTTACTTTCTAATCATTCCCACTAACAGACTGAGACTTTGATTGATGTCAATGAGATAAAATTTGAATTTTTTGTCCATTAAAAAGGTGGGACATGGACTTGCTTTTATTTCTTGTTTGTACAAAAGACGTGAATGCCCTTCTCATCCTCAGCATAAAAGTTAGCCCTGGAAAGTTTGTCAGTCTTACAAGACAAATGTCCAGTCTTGTCATGTATAAGTATAACAAATGCAACCACATGGAGTGAATTTATTACTAATTGTAATGTTTTTTATTACTTGTAGAGGAACTCTATGAAGCTCTAAATCTTATGCTAGAAAGTGATTTGGATGATGAACGAAGTATGCTCTCTTCTCTTTCCTGCATTTAATCTTAATTACTGTTATTCAACTTTGTTCCATGAAAATTGAACATTTGTTGTTTTCATGCAAAATTATAAGCTAAAGTTACGAAATTGATCATTACAAACAGTTGATTCTACTGAATTTGGCTTCACCAAGAAAAGGGTATTTTAGACATTTATGTTATCTTTGCAGACCGACACTATGAAGTGGTCTATTTAATCCATGAGAACTTTGAAGAAGAAGTTGAGAAAGTAAATCTTAAAATTCAAGGTGATCCATTGCTACTCAAAATTCTTTATTTAGCTTACCATATATGAATGCTGTCAAATATTAGTCAAAATATATTACTCTGCTGTAATTTTGACTTTTAACAATCAAAATGCATATCAACATTTTCCCTGCTTTTTTTTTATAACATTTGACTCTAAGCATCACAAAATAGTAAAATCTTGATGTTACCCTTTTATACGTCACACATATTTTGAATTTGTGACATGGTTGATTTGACTCTTGAAAGTCAAAATAGTACATTCTTGACTCTTAAAAAAGATACAACGACTACATTTGACTTTTTAAGGATCACAAAATAGTAAATTCTTGATGTCACCGTTTTATAATAGAAACATAATATGAATATTTCACATAGTGGGTTTGACTCTTGAAAGTCAACATCTTTTTCTTAAAAGACCATGCTTCCATTCCTTTTTTTGTGCAGAGTTTCTAACAGAGAAAAAGGGCCGAGTTCATAGATTCAGTGACTGGGGACTTCGAAGACTCGCATACAAAATCCAAAAAGCAAAAAACGCGCATTACATCTTGATGAACTTTGAGATTGAAGCAAAATGGATCAATGAATTCAAGAGCTTGCTTGATAAAGATGAGAGAATCATCCGACACCTTGTCATGAAACAAGATGAAGCTGTCACGGAGGAATGCATCCCTCCACCTGAGTTTCACACTCTTCGTGCTGACATGGATGACAATGATGATGATGATGATGATGAAGAAGATGAAGATGTAATGAATGTGGATGATGGTGATGATACGGTTATCATTTATGTTGATGAGGATGAGGATTTGGGTGATCATGGAAACCGCAAACCCGCAAGTTTAAAGGTTGGAGGAACAAGAAAACTTGAAAAATCTGGGAAATTTAGTCGATAGTTGTTGTTCTTGTTCTTGGGACCTTGTGATGTATGTGTTTATGTTTTAAGTTTTTGTTTGTTGTTGTTATATGAACCAAGAATCTTTATAACTTTTTTTTGAGACCGATGATAGTTTTGACTATTAAAGTCAAATGTGTTGAATTTGATCTTAATATAGTTTAGTGAAAAAGCAACCAAATTAAGTGAACATTCCACATGGTGAAAACTTTTGATTAAATATCCCATTTGGCATTTCCCTTTGACATGCATGTTGCAAACAATACAAGAAAATTAAGTTTGAACATCCTCTAAGAATCTTTGCTATGACTCTTTTGTTGTTACTTGTTACAGTGGCGTTTGATCCTAACTGATAAAAAATTATCATTTTAGTTTTTTCTTGTTATGATATGAACCAACAGTTAAGGTTTGAGACCCTTTGTTCATATAAAAGATTCATACTTTTGACTTTTCAAATCTAATGTGTTTGATAAGTTGATATACTCTAGTGAAAATATAGCTATGTTTTCCCCCAATTTTCGTTGGATCGATGATTTGATGTTATTGTAACCCTTGCACATTGAATAAGGTACATTTACAAATAATCATGTCAAATGTTATATACGATTTTTTTTCTAGTGATGTGAGTGAAACGTTTATGGTGAAGTTCATGTAAAAGTTTAGGAATTACAATTGTAAAAGAGCTAATTACAAAAAATATCAAAATGGCAAGATTTTATTAATTACCATGCTTTCAACATTTATCACAAAATAATAAGATAATATGAAAAATATTTTTTGGTTCTAAAATAAAAAAATATGATTTTTTTTTCCAACAAAGATGATGTAATTGTGCAAAAGAATAATATAAAAATTATGCGAAACGAAGGTATTTCACTAATCGAACTAGTAGAAATTAAAAAATACAAAGAAAAATAAAGATGCCAAAAGATTTACGTAGTTTACACGATTAAGATAATTGTTATATCTTCACGGGCGAACTAGAGATTTATTATTGATTTCAAAACAATTAATTTACAAGGTACAAACAAATAAAAATATGTCTAGACAATGCGAGACACTAAAACATAGTATCACCCCTGGTTTGATATTTATATTCTTCATCTTCACAATTTCAGACATGGGATACATTTCACACCCGTCATAAGCAACGGTCTCTACAACTCAACAGTCTTTCACTTTAATCCCGATCAACGAATTAACTTCCTTCTATGGTATATATTTCTCGTAAACCTAACACCATACAATCTCTTATTCTATTTAGTTTGTCACATTCTCATCAGTCATCTAGAAGGTCAGTTGAAGCTGAGTACAACATCAACTTCTATGTTGTCATCACCTTGGTGTGTTTGTCTTTAAATCTACTAGCTCAAGATTTAAGTCTCCTTTCACCACAATACCTAGATCATGACTCATATAGATCTTAGGTTGCCTAAAACCAACTCATATAGATCTTAAGTCACCCAAAACTGACTTAAAACAAACGGTCATATTTTAAAAGTTTCCAAATGACCACTATAAGGGGTTCTACCCCTTGACCCCACATAAAGGGTGTTATGCCCCTTATGTAACACCCATTTCCTGAGATGCCCTTTTTTACAGTGAGATGATGAATTTTGAGATTTTTCTCCTACACTAAGCGTAGGTCTGAGCTATACTGAGCGTAGGTATGTGCTACGATGAGCGTAACGCCGTTGTTTGCACAAAATCGTAGATTTCGGGTTTGGTCACTATTTAAGCATCTCTAACTATTAGAGTTTCTGGAGATCAACCTATATCCTCTCAAGAATGAAACCCTAGCCTCCATTTCCCCATCCTCCATCCTTTTGCTTCCTGTAGGTGCCATTTTGGGAGTGTTTAAGGAAGGTCATCATTCTTTGGAGCTTGTGTGAGTGTTTCTAGAAGATATCTAACCTCTTGTGCATCTTGTGGACCTTTGTAAGTCATTAAGCTCCCAACTTTATGATTCAAGCTTTCTAGATCTTTCATATTATGGTCTTTGAGTCCCTTTTTGTGGTTTTGGTTAGAGTTCAAGGAAGAACTCTAGATAAAGCTTGCAACCTTATCATTGTTGAATGTCCTTGGAGTGTTTTACGTAACATCCTAAAATTTAAGAGCAGGTTCTTAAATTAACAAAGTAAATAAATAAAAGATGATTTATATAGATAAATCACTAAGTGATAATTATATCATTAATTTATAGGAAGTTTAGAAAATTATAAATGAAAATAATAACATGTTAAAAGTTAAATGGCAATTTGTGACAATCGGGTGAAACTTATGTTTGACTAAAGATTTGACCAACTTAATAACTTGAACTAAGTTTGTGCAGATTAGGACGGAGAGGGACCATTTTGGAAGTTAGTTAAAGTTTTTAAGTTAGTTTGGAGTTACTTTGAAAGACATTTTTTGCTAGGAGGGACCAAAAGTGACAAGTTGGGAAAATTCAAAGCTAGTTAATGGGTCTTCTCTCCCATTTTTTGGGAAGAACGTGATTGAGAGAAAGGGAGAGAGCTAATGGCGGTTTTGATTCTCAAGAGCTTCTAGGATCGATGCAAGTGGAGATTTGAATGTCCAAGCAAAAAGAAGAGGAATCAAAGGTTTCGTAGGTATAATTTCTTCTCCTTCTAACCTAGATATTCGAATTTATGAAGTGGGTTAAACCCAAATGGCGATTTTTATGCGATTCCTTGATTAGGTTTTTGGTTTCTAACCTCCCTTGGGTTGTTTTGATGACCCCAACCTCAATCCAATCATTCCATTGATGAATTTGAGGATTTTGGTGAAAACCCTCATGAAACCTAGAAATTCAGAATGAGGATTTCATGTTTGTATGTTAGATTGGAATGGATTCAATGACCTAGATGATATTTAATGACAATTAATCCAATTTGAATACTCAAACACATCCATGATGGTAGAATCATGTAAAAGCTAGGATTAAAATGGATTTGGGGACAATATGATGAAACTAATGGAATCCTTTGTAGTTGAGAAATTGATGAGTAAAGGAAGTTCATAATCATGAATTGATACTTTTTGAATGATTGGATTCAAAACATAAGGTGTTGCTTGATTACTAGATTGATATATGGAGTTATTGGCCATAGGGGTAATTTGGGAACATGGAATGGAATTGAGGATTACATAGTTAGATTAGGTATTTACAATGAGATTAGTTATGGTTTTATGCACTTGACAACTTTCATATGAGTATTCAATAAGTTGGGAACAAGTTTTGTGGACTTTTCAATGTTCAAGTGTAAAATGGACTAGTTTACCCTTCTTTTAAACACTTGAAGATCATCATGTTCCTAATGGGTTCAATGAGCACTTAATGGATTAAGTGAAGTGCCTTAAGATGATAAAACACCTCCTAATCATGTGTGAGAACCTATACAAGTGGTGTAAAGTGATTTGGAAAAGGGTATTCAAGAACTATGCAAAGTATAGTGTTATTTTGAGAAAAAAACGAGTTTAGAAATGATACATCCACATGAACACGACCCGTGTTCCCCAAGGAATAATGAACACAGCCCGTGTTCCACCCTGTTAAGGGTCAACTTATTTTTCTCATAACTTTTGCATACGGACTCAGATTGTAACACCTGTTTCAGGTATTATTTAATTTGTCTAATTTTTAGGGTTTTGTGCATGGACCAGACGAGTTGGGATGCTCCAACTCGTCGAGTAGAGACTATTATGGGACGCGGGATTTGGATCCTACTCGACGAGTCAGAAGGCCCCGACTCGACGAGTAGGAGCTGTAAAGAAAGTAAAAACGAAAGAAAGTAAAAAAACAATGAAAACTACCAGAGCCATGATACATCATAAGAGGCACTAGAGGAATCTACTGGGATGGTACCTTTCCCGTTGTGAAGTAGATGTCCTAATGGAAATGATGCCTTGATGGTTTGATTTGTTCTTTCCACCTTGGTCTAGACTTGGGAGTGGTTCCTTTATTGGACGTAGACCCTAAGTAAAAAAATGGTCACGGTTTAATACCAGAATTAGCCATGAATAAAATAATGGAATGTAATGTGAAATGGAATGTCATTTGAATTATGTTAAGTCTAATGAAATGTTTTGATATGGAATGGAATAAGGAAAAATGTCTTATGAAATGATATGATATGATATCTTATGTTATGTACGAAATGATTTTCATGAAAATGCTTTAAAATGTTTTTGATAAAAATATGATAAAGGTTTTGGGCTGCAAATCCGCGTATCTCATAAGACATTATTGTCTTACGTATTTTTTTTAATTCCATGTATCTCTGGTTACCCTGAAGGAGAGAGAATGATAAACGGAAGTTAGAAGTCAAATGATTGAGAATGGAGTGGAACTTGTTAAGTTCCTTGTTAATTTTATTGATGTAATTTTTATTTGTTTTCTATGGTTGTAATGAAGCTTAACGGTAACACCCAATGTTTTAATTACAAATGTGTTGTGGGACCGGTTTTTGTTAAATGTGGGTTGACACCCGAAATGATTTTTATAACCATAACATTTTAAAAAAGTATAAGTTTAAAAAAATTTGGGGTGTTGCATTCTATCTTTTGGATATGGAGTTTGGACTTGTTTTGGTGTCATGTATGGAGTCAAGGTCATACTTTCACCATTTTTTGACCTAGAAGGGTATATGACATACATGAAACATGCATGTCCATAAAATTTCAGTTTTTATGAGTCCTTTTTGAGTATATTGGACTTATGGAAAGTTTTTGGATTTTGGCTAAACGAGTTAAGAGCTTAACCAAAAAGTTAGTTATGTGAATAGTGTACGCTGAGCATAGCATTGTTCTACACTGAGCGTATGGATGAATAAATTCGGCTATTTTGTCTTTTAGTGCTACGTTGAGCGTAGATAAGCTACACGGAGCGTAGGTATGTGCTACGCTAAGTGTAACTAGGGGTGTTAACTTATGACATGACACGACAAAAATACACGACACGAAACAAAATCGAGACGGAATCAAAATTCGAATTCGTGTTCGTGTCAAGTTTAAAAAACACAACGTTGTATCGTGTTGTGTTCGTGTTCATAAATCTACACGAAATTGACACGATTAAGCATGTGGTTGTCGTGTTTTTTGTGTTTGTTGTTTTTGTCGTGTTATATATCTTTAAATATGAATTAATTA